TAATGACACTATGAGAAATCTTTGAGCTGGACATGCAGTACTCCAGCTTTTACATGCCGTGCTTTTGCAGAGCAACGGGACTTCTCCACAAACTCCTGTTGCAATACAGAATGCTCCACAGTGCATCTCCTCAATCTGTGGCCTGTCCCTGCAAGGGCTGGAATTGAGAAACTGTGAACTGGAAGAGATTAAAGCATGGTAATTGTGTTATAGTGGTTCAAAAATATTCCATGTTACGGTTGGACAACTGTAACTGTCAAAGTGGGTAAGAAATATGGATATGCCACTAAATCTACAAAGACAAAATTCTCACTTGATATCTGACTTCTGTAGAAACTCAAGTTCAAAGACAAATCTAAATATTCAGGCAGAGAGAGCTTTTCTACTTAGTCTAGCTAATATGCTTGTCTAGCCATGTTTCAGAACATTCAGCTTTTAGTTAAAAAGAATTATCATTTTTTTGAGTTTTCACTAGTCAAATTAGAGTCTATAGGAGTACATTATTTATATACATCTATATGAGAGCTTTCATAGTTATCATGCATCTTTTTCTGCTATGGCCTTGATGATGATAAGTTTGCAATAAATCTTAGACTTGGAGTTGATGCAGGTGCTAATGTATTTTACTGTTAAGGCATGAAAGATAGAAAAAGTCTCCTTGGAGAAATTTGAATTTTATTCAGCCTATACATTTCCATTATAAGACAGAAAAAATGCAATGTAGACTGCTGTTAAAGTCCTGCTTTAAACTACTAGGAATACATGATAGACTGAAAGAAATATCTGATATATTTTTCTTCATGTGCTGATTGAAAAGCAAACCAGACCTTCCAGATTTTCTTCCATTTGACTTTAATGCTGAGTTTTCCTATTGAAATGGGAAGGCCTAATTCAACTTTGCAAAATAGAAAGGAAGCCAAGATATAAATATATCTTGAATAATTCAGAACCAACTTCCACTCCTGAAACTTACTGGAAGAGCTCTGTAATATGGAATATAGATTTGATGAAAAAAGGATCATGAGAGCAACAAATCTGTTTGTCATCTGCATAGCAATACTTAGTCATTTGAGAAATATAATCAGGGAGTGCAATGATATAGACATAGAACAATGCAGGGCCAAGAGTAAAGTCCTGTGGGACATCAGCTGTAAGTGAAAAAGGACTTGATTAAGGATAGCTGTATTAAATAACAAGTGAATGGTCAGACAAAAATAATGCTAGCCAGCATAACATGTTAGCTTTAGTGACACATCTAGAGTACAATGAATAAGCAATGGTGATTGTGAGTATTCAAAACAGAAGACTGACAGCATTTCATTAGGGCAAATATTAAATTCTATTCACGAACACATGCACCTTGATCATTTCAGGTGACTAAACAAATGACACCATTTAGTGGATGTCTCCAGTAGACCTTTATAAATCCACTCTGGCAATGAGAAAAACAAGTTCTAACTTTTGGTAATGTCTGCAATACAATAAGCACTCTGGGAATAAGTTAGATGAACAGATCTTCGTCAGTCATCATAACAATAGTGCCAAAAAGGACATGCAAACAGACAACTGGAACTACTGCAGGCTTGAAAAGTGGGGAAAGGAGCCTTACCAGAGGAATAGCTGGTATAGGATTTTATTTTGGTGGCTCAGTAGAAAACTAGGTAGACGGTTTACCCCTTGAGATATGGTATGAGATTGATGATTTAAAATTGATTTTAAATTTCTTTGATTAATTTTAATGTTGGGAAAACACAGGAAGGTGTGGGAAACATGGTTCTAGAAATCCCAAGCTAAATATTCAGCAGTCTATTGTTCTGCACTTTTTGTTTACCATGCAACAGGAATCACCTGGTCCTGTTTTCCCTACTTTATTTACTTTGCATTAGTCTTTATTAAAATGATCTCAATTTCCTATTGTGGGGTGATTTTTAAGGCTTTTAAAGATTTTTAAGGCTCTGATTCCTCAGCATCTGATATCACTTCATGAATAGCACAACTTTCCAACATATTTTTGTTCAAATATACAAAGGTCGTATTCTTCATCTGGTCTTTTCTCTCAAATTATCTGACTGATTTTATTTGCAATCTGTGTAGTCACATGAGCCTGAGCTGGAAACAACCAATTAGATCAGACTGTCCCTCCTCTTGCCAATGTGGAATATAGTCCCCCAGACAGAGGACATGCGCTTGATTTTAGCCAAAAGTCAAGAAGAAGCCTCCTGATCTTCACCCACTGAAATTTAAACTCTCATCTGTTATTAATACATTTTCAGCGAATAATTACCAGAACATCTGCTCATGCCCAGTAAATTTTTACTTCCTTCTCTTAAAGCTGACTTCCCCAGTGGACTGATGAAAGAGACGTTCTGCAGCTCATTCTGCTCTTTAAAAGTGATGTAGTGATCTTTGTAGTTCATGTAGCAGCTATAAGGGAAATAAAAGCAAAATGATTGCAATAAGAATAGTAGGATTTCTGTCTAACTCTTTAAAAAAAAAAAATCAGGAAGCATTATGAGACATTCTGCAAATGCACGTTTGGTGTTTGCATGAAGTTGTAAGCATTTATACAGTTTGAAAAGATTAAATACTGGTTCTAAAATGCTGATGCCAAAGTGATATGGCACAGCTTTATTTGGAAGTTGATATAAATTGTATGCAAATAAAAAAAAATCACTGGCTGAGAAGAGAGGCTTTTCTGAGGTAAATGTGCTACAACAGTCTTTCAGGTTTAGACATATGTTTAGACTGTGACTCATATTTAAAACTTTTCTTAACTCAAGCTTTTCAGAAAGAGAAGTCGATTTCCAACAGGAGATGCTAAGTTTCCATGGATATGGCCTATGTTCCCGAAATGTAGAGTTGATGCTGTTTGTTGATTACAGTGATGTTAAGCTATGTCCATTAACATTCTTTTCTGCACAAATGCAACTGTTTGTACATGTAACAGGCAGCTACTCACAGGTGGGGCACTCCAGGTTTGCATTTAAACCCAACATGTAACCCAGCTATGTTTCTCATCAAGTTGGACACTCTGCTTCAGTTTCCTTGTCTTCTAAATTTCAGGATATATGAGGGAATGATGTTTTGGGTTTCTGTGGCGGAGTTTTAGTAGCAGTGGAGGGGCTGCAGGGGTGGTTCCTGTGAGAAGCTGCTAGAAGCTTCCCCAGCTCCAATTTGGACCCGCTGCTGGCCAACGCTGAGCCCATCAGTGGTGGTGGTAGCCCCTGTGGGCTAACGTATTTAAGAAGGGGAACCTGCAGTGAGTAGGGGGATTGGAATGTGAGAGGAACAGCTCTGCAGATAGTGAGGTCAGTGAGGAAGGAGGGGAGGAGGAGCGGGGGAGGACGGGATGCCCCTGCAGCCCATGGTGAGACGGCAGGCTGTCCCCCCCCAGCTCATGGAGGGGAGTGGGGGAGCAGATGCTCCCAAGATGGCCGGGATTCCTTGGGAAAGCCTGCGCTGGAGCAGGCTATGACTGAAGGACTGCAGCCCGCAGAAAGGACCCATTGGAGAATTTCATGAAGGACTGTCTCCCGTGGGAGGGACCCCACGCTGGAGCAGGGGAAGAGTGAGGAGTTCTCCCCCTGAGGAGGAAGGAGCAGCAGAGACAACATGCAAGGACCCGACCCCGGCCCCGTCCGCCACTGGGGAGAGGAGGGAGAGAGAACCGGGAGTGGAGTTGAGGTGGGAAGGTGGGAGGGCTGGGGGGAAGCTGTTCTCAGGTTGGGTTTTACTTCCTAATGTCCTTATTTTGATTTGATTTGTAGTAAATTAAATTGATTTTGTTTCTTCCCCAAGTTGAGCCTGTCTTTTGCCTGTGACCATAAGTGGGGAGTCATCCCTCCCAGTCCTTATCTCAACCCATGAGCTTTCTTTGTATTTTCCCCTCCTCATCCCACCACAGTTGTTACCAGCTGGGCTTAAACCATGACAAATGAAAATGGACGTTCATGCTCCCCTGAAGGGAGGGGACTGTCCTGATCCTTACACATGTGTGGGTGGGAAAATGTAAAAGTGACAGTATGCCCTAGCACCAAAGCCCCAGGATGCACACAGCTACACAAAGATCATTAATCATAGCATTAATCAAGCCTTTAAAGTCTCCCCCACCCCCTGTCCACTTCCATGTCCTTCCCAAAATATGTCCTCATATCCTCTTTCTAATCTCCATCCCAAATTTTATTCCCTTCATTTCCACAGTAAGCATTCATCTGTACAATTTAGTGATACAATTTCTTTGTGTGCATTGAGGAAAATTCTTTATCAACATGCCTACATTTCATTTTCATGCTTTTGCAGGGGTTCTGCTTTCTGATCTTAGAGTGCCTTTGTGTAGTTCAGATTTGCTATCAGGACAGCACCCTCTCAACAGCCCAGATCACAGCAAACTGGAGGTGCAGAGGGTGTCCTGTGTAGTCTTCTGCCCCTGCACAGCATAACCAGTTATTTACATAAACATTAGGTTCATGTCTCTCTTCTCAAGTTAAATTTGAATGTTTTGTTTAGGGTTGCTACTCCAGCTACAGATATTCAGGGCAGTAAATCTTGGGCCTGACCCGCTGTAAGGAACTACTAATCTGAAGAAGTGTCCAGGAAATAGTTGGGCAAAGCTGAAAATGGGAACCTAAAGCAAAATCCACCCAGAGCAGAAGAAAAGTTTTTTCTTTGTTGGTTCAGATGGGCACAAAAGCCCACTAATGAAGTCAGATCACTTACAAAATATCAGAGTGTGGAAGCTGTAGCTGGGAGGCTTCTGGTTCACCTAACTGCAAAATCTGGAACTGTAGCCTTCTGTCTTCATGGTGCACATACAGCTACACTGTAGGCAGTAGATTAATGGATTTTAGAGCATTTTAAAATTCAGCTTTTAAAGTCACTTATTTTAAGCCTATTTGTAACAGAAGTTGCATGATTTAGTTGGAGTTGACATCTTGAAACCTTATTACTGTATTCTGTTCAATAATATTGAAATACGTTGTTTTCACTAATTTATGTTTCAGAATAAGAGCCAAGGATTGAGTTTTGTCCGTATACATGCACCTTGGCAAGTACTTAGTCGAGAAGCTGAACTCCTTAAAATAAAAATGCCCACTAAAAAGGTAAGTATCTTCCATTTTCTATCAACTAGTTGTATGACTGGAGGAGGGTGAATCAGAATGGTAGTTAAATGTATAGAAGCCCATGGAGTTATTTTATTTCAAAATCAGAGCAAATGAACTGTCAGGCTTTTTCTTTCACATTACTAATTATTTTGAGATTATTTAATCAGAGTCATATGTAAGATGGGATTTTCGAAGGGGTTTTCAAAGGCCACAGAGGCAGCTGGCTGCCATTTTGCGTTCAGAAGAGTGATGAAAGAGGTGAGTTTTAAGGAGGGCTTTGGAAGCTGAGAAGGCAGTAGCTATTTGGATTTTTGTCAAGGAACTTTCCTCAAAGGTGAGGGAGTATGGAGATAGTATGATAGCTGGTCATTGCCTTAAGATTTCTCTGAAGTCTGGGGATGCTGAGAACCTGTTTTGGTGGTATCAATGACTTAGTGAATTCAGACTTACCTATTGTCATTAAAACTTTGGCTCACTATCTTTACAGTCTTTACAGTCTGCTTTCAGCAGAGTTGCTGGCAAACATTGTAAATTCTGAGTAGCAGATCCCAAAATTTGTGGTCCTGCAATGATTTAGCACATTGGCTAACAACTCCACTGAAGTCAGCGGAACTGCCTTGTGCTTTCAGTTAGTGGTACTCATCAGATGCACTACTGAACACTTATTTCATTGCATTGTCATTAGAATTAAAGGACAGGCTGATTTTATTTTCTTTCACAAGGTTGGTTGTTTTTTGTTTGGTTGTTTTTTTCGGTGGGTTTTTTTTTTCATACTGATTGTTTTCACCCAGCGAAAGTTTAGTGTTGTTCACATCTCGTGGTGTTACAATCTGTCACTGTTGGAAGCTTGACTAAGCCAATCTTGTATACTTTTACTGTATTGTGTTTGCACCCCAGGAAAAAAAAAATCTGGTTACTTCAAATAAATCTTTGAAAATGAGTAGGTTTTGGACAGCTACAGTACCTATGTCCTTTCTGGCATATCAATGGATGTGTAGGCTCTTTCTAGAAATAGACCCACGTATTCAACTCCTCTCTGATCCCTTCCCAGCTTTGTTGCTTTTGTGCATTTCTAGTGTCTACTCATTTCTCAATCCTTCTTCCCTCATCGGAATTTTCCCCACCTAGATTTTTGTAGATACACTGAAGCAAATTTTACACTGTTTGAATTGACGAAAATTGCCATGATATTGTTCTGAGTTAAGGTCTGTCCAGGAGCTTGTAGTCTCCAATGGACGCCCTAGTCATTCACTAACAGTTCTGCATTGCCTTCTCTTCTCTGAATGGGAGAAGAAATGCACAGTATATCATAAGGCCCTAAAGACACAGAATCATCTGCGGGAAAGACATCTAAAAATATTGACAAATTACTTCATTTAACCGATATATATTATACCTTATTTATAGCATCCTTTACTTTAAAGCAACAGATTTCAATGAACCAATCAGATCTCTGTACACTTCATGTTGAATGAAACTGCCACAGAACTGACATTTATTGAATAGTATGACAAATATTCGAAGAGTAAGTGAACATGTAGTCATTGATTAGGCAGTTATGAAAACAGTGTTCAGGTTTGTACTTGTAATTTATTTTGGTGTATAGAAGACAACAAAATGAAATATGTCTACCAACAAGGAAACCAGATCTCAATTTTCCTGAAAATTCACCCTAGGGTAATAAGTTGTTTTGTATAACTTAAAAGTGATACAACATATGTAAGGAGAAGATTGCTGACAACTCTTGTTGACTACATTATTTTTCTATTATGTCAACTGCAGAAATGGAGTACTACCAGTGCACTACCAGAGAGCAAGCATGACAGGAAATCTATGTTCATGTCTTACTTTCTTTTGCAATTAAAGACAGTTGGAAGTGGAATTTCCTGTGAAGAAAACAAAAAAATGCTTTGAAAAACTGAAATCTTTTATTTTGAGGATTTGGCACTACAAACTGAAAAATTCAGCCAGTACCCACTAAAGAGAAAATTCTATTTTTGTTCAGAGAGACAAAAGGTTATTTTCAAGGCACATTATGTACTTTCTGTGACACTATTCTTATTTATTCAAACATCTAATGAAACCATATAGAAGGCATTTTCATGGAAAGTATTTATCTACCTCTAAACATGATGAATTGGTTGCAAAAAATTTTCTTTCAAATGTTCAGTCTTAAATCATCTTTCAGGACAAATGACATGCTGGGAAAAGATACTTTTTGAGCAATTTTAACTCTATGTATACTTCTGGATATGACAATACAGTTATTTTTGATGAGTGAGAATGGGCCACACTCAAATATAAGTATGACAAACAAACAGTGTGAGAAAAAACAGGACCAGCTGAAAGCATTGGTCCATTCCCAGAGCTATGATGTCTCTGGTGTTAGTGAGATTTGGTGGAACGAGTCCCATGACTGGACTGCTGGGATGGAGGGCTGTAGGCTCTTCAGGAGGGATAGGCAAGGCAGGTGAGACGGAGGAGTTGTACTGTAAGTAAGGGAGAAGTTTGGCTGTGCAGCCCTTGCAGTTAGGGATGATATGGTTGAGAGCCTCTGGGTGAGGATTAGGGGGATGGAAAACAAAGCAGATGTCATTGTGGGTGTCTGCTATTGATTGCCCAGCCAGGATGATGGGACTGATGAATTACTCTATAGGCAATTAGGAGAAATTTCTGGATCGGTAGCGCTTGTCCTTATGGGAGACTTCACTTCCCAGACATTAAGTGGGAATACCATGCTGTGACAAGCGAGAAATTCCTGAAGTGTGTTGAAGATAATATCTTGTCATACATATTCAGTGAGCCAACTAGGAAAGATGCCCTCCTAAGAAAGATGCCTATTTGTGAATAGAGAAGGACTTGTGGGAGATGTGATGGCAGGTGGCTGTCTTGGCCACAGTGATCACAAAATGATTGAGTTCAAAATTTTCATTGTAATGAGAAAAAAGGTCAGCAGAGTTGTTACTCTAAATTTCAAGAGAGCAAACTTTAAGCTACTCAGGGAGCTAGTTAGCAGTGTCCCCTGGGAATCTGCTTTTGAGGGCTTAGGAGTCCATGAGTGCTGGTCAGTTTTTAAGAACCATCTTTTAAAAGCACAGGAGGAGGCAATTGCAGTGTGTTGTAAGTCAAGCAAGTGGGGCAGAAGACTGGCTTGGCTGAACAGGGAACTCCTCATGGGGGTCAAGAAGAAAAAGAAATTGTACTGTCTCTGGAAGCAAGGTCAGACTTCGCAGGAAAACTACAGAGCTGTGGTTTGCATGTTCAGGGAGCAAAGAAAAAAGGCCAAAGCTCATCTGGAGTTGAAACTGGCCAGTGTTGTGTCAGACAATAAAAAGTCTTTTTAAAGTATGTTAATAGAAAGAGGAGGTCTAAGGAAAATATTGGACCAATACTTGTTGAAAATGGTCACCTGACAAATAGGGATGGAGAAAAAGTGGAGGCCTTCAATGCTTGTTTTTGTCTCAGTCTTTAATATTAATGATAGACCTTGGGCTGCCTGGTCCTCTGAGTTGGAGGACCACAACTGTGGGAACAGTTTGTGGACACTGAATTTGTAAGGGACTATCTGTATCAGCTGAAAGTTCCTAAGTCCATGGGGCCTTATGGGATTCATCTCAGAGTACTGAAGGAGTTAGCAGATGTTACAGCAGCACCCCTTTCAATCATCTGCCAAAGGTCTTGGGAGTCTGGGGAGGTCCCCGCTGACTGGAAGCTAGTCAGTGTTATTATAATTTACAGGAAGGGTTAGAGGGAAGACCCAGGAAACTACAGACCTGTTAATCTAACCTCAGTACCTGGAACAATTATAGAGAAGACCATACTGGGTGCTATTGAAAGGCATCTGAAGGGCAATGCAATCGTCAGGCACAATTAATATGGTTTCATGAAGGGAAAGTCCTGTCTAACTAATTTTATATCCTTCTGTGATAAGGTTTCCTACCTAGTGGATGATGGGAAGGCGGTAGGTGTCATTTTTTCTGAATTTCAATAAAGGTTTTGATAGTGCCCCTCATAGTATCCTTCTGGACAAGTTGTCCAACTGTGAGATGAGCAGGTACATGGTGTGCTGGGTGAACTGGTTGAACAGCAGGACTCAAAGGGTTGGAGCGAGTGGGGCTGTGTTTGGCTGGTGACCAGTCACCAGCAGTGTTCCTCAGGGCTCAATTTTATGGTGAGATTTGTTCAATATATTTATCAATGATCTGGATGCAGGAGTTGAATTCACCATTAGCAAGTTTGCTGGCGATACTAACCTGGAGGTGCTGTTGACTCTCTGGAGGGACAAGAGGCCTTGCAGAGGGATCTAGATAGATTGGAGCATTGGGTTATGATTAATGGAATGAAATTCAACATGAACAAACGCTGGATTCTGCCCCTGGGTTGGAGTAACATTGGTCCCAAGTATAAATTGGGAGCGGGGTGGCTGGCGAGCAGCCCTGAAGAAAGGGGTCTGGGGGTCTGGTCGGCAGCAGGCTCAGTGTGAGCCAGCGGTGCGTGCCCTGGCAGCCGAGAGGGCAAACCCCATCCTGGGGGGATCCAACACAGCCTGACCAGCCGGTCAAAAGAGGGGATGGATGATCCCGCTGTATTCAGCGTCGGTGCGGCCCCACCTGGAGTACTGTGCGCAGTTCTGGGCCCCACCATGTCAGAAGGATGTGAAGGTCCTTGAATGCGTCCAGAGGAGGGCACCCAACCTGGTGACGGGGCTGGAAGGAACATCCTATGAGGAGGACATAAACTCCTGTTTGGTCAGGTTGTCTGTGTTTCAGGAAAAAATACCTTCATATCTCTGAGAAGCTCCCTAGCACTTCACATCAATCTGAATCAGCAAAAGCTAGGTCCTTGCTCTTAAAACTGCCACATAGCCATAAGCCTGGCATCCTCGCTTCTAATGGCATGTGTTCATGTGCTCTTAGACCATACTAGCAAGTATTAGCTAGGAATAATTTATTCTGCTGGGAGCAGTATAATTGGCAGCAGGTAAAGGCCCTTCCTGCTTTGTCTGCTTCCTTTATTCCCAGTTACAAAGTCAAAATAATTACTCTGCCTTTCCATCATCTCCCTGCAGGTCCTAGTTTAGTTAATAAAGATGTTTCTTGTATTAACAATTCTGCACTGAGTTTTCTTCTGGAATTAGCCTGTTAAGGACAAGAACTTTTTGGAATTGAAACCCTTACAGATTCACATGTGTGCTGTTTTATGGGAATATATCTTCAGAGAAGGCACTCATTTTAATTACAGATTTAAACATACGTGTATAGCAAAATCTATCTTTTTTTTTTTAAGTTTAGTGCATTTTTGAAGTGACATGCTAATGTACAATATTTTATTTACTCAGATGTATGAAATCACAGAAGAAGGGGGAATACTCAAAAAGTTAAATGAAATATGGTGCAAAGTGACTGAACCTCTGCAACCCCAGGTGCCACAACAAGAAAATACCAACATGAAAAGCCTGTCCTACCCTTTTTCCAGAGAGAAAATATATTTGTGAGTACTTTAAATTGTGTTGAGCAATTTAGAAAGCTATAACTTATCTTTTTATATGTTGTCATTTTTTCTACCAGTATTTCAGTCAAAATTCAGAAATTCATTGAGTATTTCTGGAAATCCTGTGGAAATATCCAAGTTGTCACATTATTCCTGGATAGTACTTCCAAGTGATAAAAGCATATGTCTACATAAAACTAAATTTATTGAAGGCCAAGTAAATAGAACTAAAGTAAATGAACATGCGTTGGCACTGAGTTCAGTTTCAGTGGATTAACAGAAATCTAAGTTGCAGAGACTTTCTGCCAGTGTTCTACTTCCTTCTGCTGGATAAGGCACTGGCAGCAGTGCACCAAATAAAATATCTATGTTTTTAGCTTGAACTGTAAAAATCCTACCACCAGATTCCTGATCGTTTGGTTAAGGGCATTACTGCCTGTTTTGAAAAAAGAAAGAACTAGTAGAGAACTGATAATATTTTTCCTTTTGATAGATTTATTATAGTAATTAAAACTTGCCTAATAATATGCGGATAAGGAATTCTTGACACCTGGCCTTTCACTCAGAATAATACTGGGCCCAGTTTGACATTAAACACTCCTTTTTTTCCTCATGGGTGTCTCCTTGTATTTATGGCTGATAAATAAAATTCAGTAATAAATATAATGACCCACCATATCATTTATTGTCCTCTCTGACAATTTTAATTAATACTGAATACAAGTCAAATTGATGGAGGGGAATAAACTGGGAATTTCACATATGATGTTTTTAAGGTTTAAAGGAATGCATAATTCCAATGGAATGGTTATTTGAAAGCAAGTGAAATGTTGACTGGTTAGTTGTCTGGGAAAGAGCAATGAACATCTGCATTAGGCTAGTTGAAACCTAATAACAACCTCAGAATCTTAGAGTGCTGAGGGTATGTTATAAGGAAAAGATTAAAAGGTCATCTTGTGTAAACAATAGAGAGGCTCTCCTTACTCAAAAGGCATTTTATGTTAGTTAATATTTTTCCATTTTTATGCCCACCATCATTGCAATCCAGGTAGAACTCTGAATGACTAGGTCTTAAATAGCAGAGTCTATTATGCTGTACTATTTCATCTATATTTCCTTTAAACATCTGATTTTCTTACTTGCTGTGGTTTCTAATGAATTCTGAATCAGAATCTTATATGTTGTCTTACTTATTACTACCATGTCTGAAAACATAACGGATTTTTTTTTCTCTCAACATTTTAGGTATAACATTAAAGACAAAGACACCTTTTTTGACAATGCTACCCGCAGCCGAATAGTAAGTAAACAAAAGTAACATATCATTGACTTCTTGTGCTGAATGGCATTTGCTTTAATACTGAGTGTTGTTGACTACTTTGCTAATTTCATCAGTTTCTGCAGTTCTCTGTTGCTGCAAAACACTAAGCAGTTATAAATATGTAAGAAATACCTTTCTGGCCCTCCCCAGTGGTCCAGGAGTAGGAGATATTATGTAGGGAAACACTGCTACTGTCTCCTCTCCATTGTTCAAAGTTGTTATTAAGCCCTGCTTCCTAATATTTAATGAGATTTATTCCATAAAAGGACGTCCTCTACAGTTCTATAGTAACTTCCTAGCTCCAGCAGTCTTTGGCGAGAAACCTTGTATCATGTTCCTGAGATCCTGCTAGGTCTCCAGCAGGCTGGTGAGGCAAGATTTCTCTTCACATATGCAATGCCAACTCATCCCTAACATAATCTGTTTCCTGAGGAATAAAATGTTCATCCATACACACTTGGATTTCATAGATAGAGCATACTTACTGATCACTTTACGTGCATCTTGAGGTTTTACTTTCAAACGTGAAAGTGAAATGTTTTTTTAAGAAGTTGGATTTTCTTGTGATTTTCTTTAGTGTAAAATTCTCATTCTACCTGAAGTCCTTATATTTCATCTAGTTTTATAAGGATGTGAGACAGCAGGATTTAGTGTACAAATGTTAGGGCAGATAATCTACTAGTAAGACTTACCATAGCATTGTTAAGTGTTAACTAGTGGCCTCAATCATGCATTTATATATGAGTGACGTGTATGATGTAAACGTATGTGCAAATGAACTCTACAGAAGCAACTTATTTTAAAGTTTTGTTTTATTGCTAGCTCCATAATTAAAATAATGCTAAAAGATGATTTGTGTGTTGTATCACTGTTCTTTTCCACAGGTACGTGAAATTTTGAAGCGCACGTCTACAAAGGCCAGAAACAGCATGGGTAAGAAGGAGGGAAGATAATTATATATGTTGTTTTGAAAGGAATTGTTTAAGTATCTCACGGAATATTTATTTTTCTAGCAGAACACAAAAGTATGCTGGCACATTTTCACAAAAAATAGATTGAAACAAATGCTTTGTCTGAGGATTAAAATCAGAATTCTGGTCCATGGTTTGGATAGGACATTGTAATGGAAGCTTGTTTTTCATTTCTACAGGTGTAGGATCTGGCACATAACTTGCATTTCTTGAGTTGTTATAAAATTGGATTTGATTATTATATGATCTGCTTTTGAAAATTCAGATGTCATCTACAATATGTTGTATTATTTCTCCCAGGAGCGGATTTTTCTTGCCATTTCAATAGAATAATATATCTTTCCAGGTTATTTTTGTCACTGCAACTTTAAAAATTATGTCCATGAGCTACATAGTGAAAAATATGATTTAACAATGACTGTTTTGAAGATATTATGTGATACTTTTGGGGTAACCTTGAAATATTTGGAGCTTTTGTTTTCCTGAGGTTCAGAACATTTACAGATGTGCTTACTCTCTTTTCTCTACTCTTTTCTTTCATCCATTGTGATATGATGACACACATCTCCCTGGTGGCAAAGAAGTGCTCCTTGTCTGGCATGTTTTCTGGAAGTCTTTCTGTAAGCTTGTCCACTTATGTGCAGATCACAATGTCCTAGAAAAATGTACTTGCAAAGAAAATTGTGCTGTAGCAACAGATTCCTGCACAGTCTTGGTGTAACTTTGTGCTGCAGTAATAGATTTCTTTGGTATAGCAGCTGGAGTGGAAAAATAGATTAATTTAGGTTCCCCTAAAATAGAGATACTTTTTTTTCCAAATTATATAAAAAAAAAACCCTAAACAAAATACTTTCTCTTTTTCAACCAAAAATATTTGGCTTTGCCCAAGTACAAACATTTAAATTTATGATTATTACACTGTTTCCTTTAAAAAAAAGAAGAGATGTTTGAGAAAATGTTAGGCATTCTTAATTTCTAAAACATTACTCAGCTGGTGTGTGTTTTGTTCACTGTTTGCTCGTTGTTCTATGTTTTGATCTGCTCAAAGGCTCTGGTGGGGCAGTAGAGAGGAATGCTACCTTATTTTGCTGGATTGCTCCACTGGCATCCAGGGAACCCTCCTGGTGACTGGGGAGCCCATGCTTTCCCTGGGAGCTGTGGAGCCTGTGCAAGTAGATATTCTAGAGTGCAGGATTTTAGAGACAGGGCAGTGTAAGGTATATAAAACAAGAAGCTTGAAGTGCAGCAGGGACTTTAAGCCTGTTGACATAAAAGCCAGCCCCCAGAGCTGACACTTTGCCAAGGGATCCAGAGAGACTGCATAGAACCTGTTGAAACTTTTAAGATTTTTTTAAGTTGTTGGGCTGAGAGAAAGCTTGAAAGAAGCAATCAGTCCTACAAGGACACAGTAGGTAGGGAAAGAGCACTTTACCAATTTTTTTTTTTTTTCCTCTTAAAGTTTTCTCTTTTAATAACTTGTTCTGGTTTATAGTGTAATAAAAACCATCATTAGAGATCAAAGCACTAGTAGTGATTTTTCAGGCTTTTTTTTTTACTCTAAGGGGAAAATACAGGCTGATCCACTGCAAGGTCAGGTCAGCTCAAGATCCCATTTGACATGAAGCAAATATTTTAACCCTCCTGTCCTTCCCATCTTTCTGGCCCATAGCCAAAACATGTTTATGCATCACCTTTCACCTAAATATAATTGTTTCGGTCTTCTGAGATCCTCCCCGAAAAGTCCTATGCTTCATATGATGCTCAGGTTTTCCCATTTCACTGGGCTTAAAACCACTCATCATGAGTCATCCTTGGTTTATTCTGGGTTTTTTTTGTTTGTTTTTGTTTTTTTTTTCAAGATTCCATTGCTTATTTTGCACAAGAGGTAGGACAGTGATGTTGGAAGTACTTGTAGCAGTCTTTGGTTTTTATAAACATATGCTTCATAATATAATAGGAGGAAAATAACATTTCAAACACATTTGCTTATTGATTTTTACATCTGTGTAAGGCTGAATCTGATTCCACTTCTATGACATTAAACAAGGAAGGCATATTTTCTTCTAGCATAACTCTGAACTGTTGTAAACTTTCCAAATATGGAATGCTTTCAGTAGAAGACTTGACATTATCCAAACATGAAGATTTCCCAATTCTATTAATGCATGTGGTGGTATGGGTATTTGTGTTTGTACCAAGGAAGAAATGTATTGGAAACGTCTATCTAGCATCTCTGACCAGAGGGTTTTTCCCAAACATTTCAGAATGATAGTTGTGTAATTTGACTATGGAATTTTTTCATCCCTAAAGACAAGCTAGCTGGTTACTTTTTACTGGGTGTTGAAAACAAAGAGGTCTGGAGTAAACTACTAATCTTAGCTTTAATTGTAATCTTATGGAACAATTGTTTTTGCCTGCAGAGACTGAAGACAGAATGGCTATACGAGTCGCAGGTCTTGAGGGCTGGTAGTGGTGTTGTGTACATCTATAGGTGCTGGGGATTCAGTTGCTAAAGCCCTTGTAGTATGTGATCACTGTGATAGTGCCATGTCCCTGTATCTTCCTGTACCTTTCACCAGGCTTTCTGTCTGCAATCTTTAGGACCCAGCAGTTTTTGTCCTGGTGCATCCAGCTTTCCGGCATAACTGTGAATTTGGTGAGCACAAATTGATTTAACTCCTGCAAACAAAGCAGCATTGTTTCAAACTGAGAAGGATGGCGGTATCTATTGATATGAGGAAGGGTAGAAAACCCTTGCTTCAGTTAAAATCAGACCTGATCTAGTATTAGTTGACAGAGAGTAAGAGTAAGGGTTTCTTCAATCACAAACTTCTGTGAAAGTGTTTTTTTCCTTGTTTGGGTGTGTCAGTGGGGTTCCACGGTTCTGATCATTGTCAAGCTTGAAGAAGGACTTCCTCCTGCTTTCCTCCTCAGTCACATGCCTCTTTGCTATCAGGATGAGAAAGTGGTCAAAATAGTCTTTGTATCATACTAGTTCACTCAAGAAAAAGCACTATATGGAAATAAGCCTTCCTGTGAAAACATGTTTTCCATAGCCAGGTACTTCTGGGTTGGTATATACTCATCTTGACATGATTTTGAATATTTTTAGTAATACAGCCCTTTTGTAATGTCATGAAATGAAATCTGTAATAATCTTTTCTGTTTAGCTGTGCCTAGCTGTTGACCATCTTAATTTTTTTTCCTTTAGGTATTGGCACATTAATAGCAAACAATGTTTATGATGCAGCATACCCACTTCATGATGTATGTATATACTATTAAAAATGTAGTTCTCTGATGGTATCACTCAATAGTGCATAGACATTAACGTTTATTGCCTGTGACAATGAAAATATACTCTAAGCGTGTGATTCCAATATGAAAACTCTTACATAAGTACATTTCAAGTTGTGACCTAAAAGTAAAATCAAGAATGTAGGAACAGCTGAGCAATCATTTATTGAATTTTATCTGTTTTTACATCAGCTATTACATTACTTTCTTTCTCTAGGGTGAATATGAAGGCCAAAATGACGACATGAATGAAAGAAAGGTAAAATACATTGCAAAATTAGTTTTGTATTAGATTTGATGTGATAAATGTGAATTAATGTCCTAAATGTTATTGTAAAGCATTAGCCAGTGTTCAATCAAGTAAATGCTTTTACAAATGCACATATTTTTGCATTACTTACTTTCCTGTATTTCTGCATATAAAAAATTTTTCACAAGACTTTTTTTAAAGCCTTCTTATGAAGTATTTCAGTGAACTTAATTTGATATTTACATGTTAAAATGCTTCCAGTTTCCCTCTGCATGCACAGACAAGATTTTTCAACCTGTGAGGAAGCAAAAGTTGCTAAATAACTTATATGATTAGTTTTTTTCCGTAACTAGATGGTACTATAGAACAATAGTTACTAGAATACAACAAAGCTGTATTTTTTCATTTGATTGTGCATTCAATTAAATTATGTGCAATTTCCAAAAATCTGCTTCCAATTATTTTGTAAATAAAAAGTTTCTAGCTATCAAAAGACTTTTGAAAATGTATCATCCACCAACTGTCTGCACAAGAGAAATGGATGCATAATCAAAGACTTTGTGAATTCAGACTGGTTTTAATACTTATGCTTACTGTTAGAAATGAGCAAAACCTTTTAATTGCTGTAATCAGTTAAGATCCGTTCCATGTTGTTCTCTAATGTTTGCGCTTTTTTTGTGATATACGAACAATAGGATAGGAAATGAAGAGGGAAATTTGTGGGGAGAGAAAGGGGGGGAGGGAAGAATGAAAAAAAAGAGAATGTTTGGATGCCTAAAATATTTACTGTACTAGAAACTAAATTGCATATATACTTGGTGATTTGTAAATTATTTCATAGATGTTTTTAACTCTGTGGTATTACATGTTGGTATGTACCATCTGTTGCTTGAAGGAAAGGTAAGAAAATGCCATTAATTTGGCAAAACACAGTGTAGTTCTCAAGAGTGTAATTGCCACAAATGATGATTATTTAAGCATTTGAAGTGAAGACTGAGTTCATAGGTCATACAAATAAATTTGATTTCTCCAGTGCTGGTTTAGAAAAAATTTGAAAATATAATCTTTGTAGTTTTTGGTAAATAGTGTTAACATTTAGCCACTAGATGTCTTCATGTGCCGTATACAATTTAAATTAGTAGATGAACCTTGGTAAGCAAAAGACACAAAGTTGGAAAACAAACTATAATGAAGCTTGTATATTTATGTCTGTTATTTCAAACTTTTTGTTCATGAAGAAATTGTCTACTCTGCCCTTGCAGAATTTTCTCTGAGTAAGTTGTAATAGTGATACAGTAATGGACTCGGAAAGTCAGCTACGTAGTTTACTGACTTACAAGGTTAGCAAAATCTTTAAAGAAGGGTACATGAACATTAGTCAACGGAGGAAGATTGGGTACTGTGGAATAGGGGGGAAGAGGGCCTAAAAGGACTAGTGTCTGGAAAAATATTCACCCTACTAGCTGTATTTTGTGCTGCCTTCTTTTTATTCTGCCTATTAGGCTCAGTTATGAAGTGTTAAGTATTAAAAACATAAAAGCTTCTTTCCAGAAATACTTCATTGATTATTCACATATGTCTCTGCTGCCTAGCCATTGAATCTGCTGTAGTATTTCTATGCATAACATCATCTGTTTTCTATCTGAATCTAATAGTCTCAGTGTTTAATTTCCTGAAAAGCCCTGATCAGGTTTAAAGGAAAGGGGGGCATTTTTGAAATTTTTTTTTCTCTGCCCCTTTTTATTTTGTCCGTTTTAACTTATCTGTGACTTCCATTTCAATTGTCTGTTGTATAAGCCCCCAAAATAATGAACTGAGCCCGTCTGGGACACTTATGCCAATAAGGCAGCACAAGTAATTAAGGTTTATGTACCAGTTCATAATATAAAAGGTTAATCCTTATTAGCCCTCTTCAGGACTTCCTTGGAGAAAATGCACGGTGAAACAACGCTTTTGTCACATCCTATGAGAATTAGAAATCTGCAGTCAATGAAACCCACTCTTTTCCTAAGACTGTTGGTTGGAGTAAAGGAATTTCCCTGTTTTAGTGTGATTTCTGCTCTAGAAAAAAATCTTTTTAAGAAAGCTATTGCACAGCAGCATGGTATATTTGCCATGAATATAAACACTGACTTGGTCATCTTTAAGCTTCTAGCCCACTGGCAACTTGTAACCCTTCATTGCTAGCAGTATGTTTGACATTGAGAAATACATGAAGGCTCTGTTACCTATCTGGGAAATACACTGTTATATACTACAACAACATCCCTAGAATATTAGAAGCAGATTGGAAAGTGTTATTATAAACTTATAGAAAATATTGCTTTTAAATGACGCTGATAAAATACAATAAACTGTACTACAAAACTCTTCCTAGAATTCCTTTCAATTTAATAAATGTCATGAAAGGAAGCACATTCCAGCTTCCAGATTAAGCTTAATCTTGTAAAATTGCAGCGTTGGGACTGAGGTTTAGTGTGGACAACACACGTGAATGGAAAACATTCATTCCACAAACTCACCTTCAGTGCTATGGCTTTTGGAATCAGAATAACCTGTGTCATTCTGTAGTCTGACATAATGCATAGCAACCTGTTCCTCAATGGACTGCAATTTTAGAAAGACCTTTCTTTTTGCTCTTCAAATTCCATTCTGGAGCTATGTTCAAAACAGCTTTTAAGTAGTTTTAAGAATTTAATAGCATTAACTTTCTTGGTTTGTATATTTCAGTGAATGCATCTATTAGTATCATTATTTACGGAAATAAATAAAATTGTAGGTAATGTTGTAGGGTAATGGCAAGGGGTGATTTTGAATAGGTAACCACAAGTATTCATATGAAAATATCAATATGGCAGCCAGGGCAATCCTCTTCAACTCCTGTTGAAGCCAAAGAAAATCAAACCCCTCATTTCTTTCCACAAGCACAAAGCATTTTGCAAGACTGTGCTCTGTAAGAGCAATATTCTAAAGCCAAGACTCCACACTCCTTGAATCTCATTGCCGAATTCCCAATTGCTTCAACAGTGTAGGGTTTACTCCCTGATCTATGAACAGAAAATACTTTATGCTGTATCTTTAATGAGTATGCAATAACATAGCTGTTCACTTAAATGGTTGCAAGCCAGTTACCATATTCTGAACAATAACACTTCATCGGGTGCATGTTGCAGAATCCAGGTCTTAATTGCTCACTTGATATTAATTTAGTTCTTTCACATAGCATCTGCAGGAGGAGAGGCATTATAAACAGTAGAAAAATGTGATTGGAAAACCACAAAATATGTCAAGATAAGTCTGCAGTTACAGCATCTGAAATTTCCCCACACTTAGTTTAATTGTGCTGTTAACTTCATAAGATGGTGTAGCGTGCTGCTAGCTGTCAAAATGGACCATCTGACAGATGCAACTACTGACGACTGCAAAAACTATATGTACATTGTTACTAACATCTTCTCCAGCTCTTGCATACTTGCATAACTCCACTGTGCAATAATCTGTTATTTACTGGGAAAAAAGCGCCATGCTTAATAAGCATCTATTTTGCAGATAGAACTTAAGAGTTTGCAATCTAGTCTGCAAATAAGCTGATGATTTCCACATATTACACATTTTGAAAAAAACCTATGCCTTACTGTTCTAAAATTACTGATTTTGACTATCTTTGGAGTTCCTTTTTTTCTGTTAAAGAAAAAAAAGTAAACAAATATTTAATTTAACTTCTCTGCAGAATATCCTCTGTATGTACCTGGTTGTGTATTCGTGTGCATGCGTTTCTCAGTTTGTGTCTTCCTCCCCAGCAGATTTAAAACTTATTGTCCAATCCTAGCCAAACTTTACAGAAGAATAGAAGTCTCCAAGGTATTAACCCAGCAATTACGTTGCTTCACATTAACTACAATTTCCCTGAGAGAGGTGAGGGACAGTCAGTTAGTGCTCACAGCAAGGGAGGAACTGAAGTATGAGGTCATCTCTTGGAGCCAGTGGATGTTCCACACAGAAGCTCGTTCTCTAAGCACAGTTTCGTCACTACTCCAGTTTTGCTAGGAATGACGTGGTGCCTAATTTTAAAGGAGCTGACCTCACCTCTTACATGCTGCTCTTTTTCTGGACCCCCTCCACTTCTTTTTTGAAAAGAGGGGCAAAAGGCTTGACACCTGTCTTTTTGGATGATACAGATTTATAATCTATAAATAGTGATGAGGTTAATTTAGTTTCATTTATCATCATATTCTAGTTATTTGTTTATTATTTTTTGATGCGCTCTGTACTTCAAGAAATAGTTTTCAATGAGCATGTTGTCTTAAACTGTCTACAGTCCTTTCATAGCGTGAAACTGTGAAAGGAACATAAACAACTCAGGTGGTTCCACAGAAAAAGTGACTCTTTTGCATGGGACTGCCCTGATTTTTATTTTCCTCTGAAGATAAGATATGGTGAACAGCAATCTAACAAAAGATCATGCTGATGTTTCCTCTGAGCTTCCTTTGGTCCTCACATAATTCTGGAAAGCTTCATTTTTTAGTGTCCTTTCTGGATTATTAATAAATTCATACACAGTTATAAAATGTACGGCTATCAAATTAACTCTTTCACCAAATTGTAAATTGCATGGTAATTTCTATCCAGCAGCTGGCTTTTGTTTCACAACAGTGTGATGACTTTCACACCATAATTACCAGTTTCCTTTACAGCCTCTTGTAAAAGAGTGTCAGAGGTTTTTTTTTTCTTTTTGAAAGTTCAACAAAGTTGTGTCACATCGCAGCAATATAAGGGGGAACAAGGAAGACTATGATAGTCCCTTGCCTGTTGCAGTTGAGTGTATTGTGGTTAGTTTACCACAGGTCCAGAAATGTTTCCTTTTATCCCTGACTCTGTTCCTGCTGGTTTCCTCCCATTGTAAGAAGTTTCTGCAGGATCTGTGCCTTCCGTTGAGCTGTCTGTAAGCTGTGGGTGAATTTGCATTTCCAACAGTAAACCCGTGAACTTCTGTGTCCATGTGCAGCATGGGGAGAGAAGGGGCTTTTATATGGGCTCTACTGGGCATAGTAGCCGCAGGAGCTGAGCAGGAGAGCAGACTAGTTGTGACACAACTATTACCTCTTGGTATGTTTTCACATACCTGTTTACCAGTTTGGAACTCTTACCTCAGTTCACTTCACCTTGGACCTGGAAACACTGGTCATTACTTATCTATGGTGTGATTCCAGACATTAAATAAATTACATCATAGGAGAATTTCACTCTGTAAGGATTATTTCTAGCATCTTTCCAAAGATTTTCACAAGACTACAGCATCTTTTATTTTTCCTTTTGAGCCTTTCTATTTAACATCACTATCTAATAAATGTGGTGGGGAGGGGGTAGTTGTGTGGAGAAAGACGTGTTTACGCCATCCTCACATTGCTGGCTTGCTTGGAGTCTTCCATAACTGCCTGAAAAACGTACTTGGAAGTTTGGATTGAAGCATGGGAAACTGCTTTTTTTGGTACATATATTTTTAACTCTTAGAAGATGTTTGTAGAAGCAGATGGAACCACTTGTTTCTAGTTAATTTTCTGTTGTGTTTTTTGTTTTTTTTTATTTTTTTTTATTTAGTTGCTGTATCGAGAATGGGCAAGATATGGAGTATTTTACAAGTTTCAGCCTATTGACCTCATAAGGTAATACAGACTTGTATAAAACACTAAGGGACCTGGTTAGCTGATACAGATTAATTAAGTTCCTTCCAGTTACTTCAGCAAATGAAATCTTGGATTGATCAGAGCGTTAAAAATAATGCTCTCACTGTTTTTCTGGAGCTCTGATGATAGTTTACTGCAGCAAAAATACACTAAATAATAACATACCTTTGTTTTTGTATAGTGCTGGAATGTCATGCTTCAGATTTAAAAAACCCAAACATTAATTCTTTCAAAAAAGAGGAATTCTCATTTACATTGATGAATTTTTATTGGAGAGTATGGTCACAAAATCTGGTGAATAATCAGAAGCTGGTGTTCACATCATGAATCAGTGTGAAAGTATTTGACAGTTTTGAAATTGATTTGATTTTTTTACTCCTGGTTTTACAAGTTTTATTCATCTGAGCACATCCATATGTGTTCCCAGTGTTTTTTGTATACTTTGAATTTTGATGTTACAAACATAGAAGAAGTTGGGCTTAAAATAAGACAAAACAAAACAACCATGCTTTTTAAGGAATTTTGACAATATCTCTACAAGAAAGCCAAACCAAACAAAAACTTTTTTTGTTGTATGCTACAAATGCTGAATAAAGAAAAGGAAATGTTTGTGAAAACTGCTGGCTTGAAATATTACGTAAGTTATATCTAGGAATAAATGAACTGTGATATTAACAAACAAACAATAACAAAAAATCTGTTTCTGGTTAATTTGTATACAAAAGAAAGATGACATTTGTTAGCGATAATCTTTTGAATAATCAAACTCCAACTAGGTTTTAATATACGATCCGCCCCTACCTGCAAAAGCTGGTGTTAGTAATATGGATAATCAATAACCTTTGTAAAATGCATTTATTGTATTTTGAGTTAAAGTTGAAATACTGCATATAGTGTTTCAAAGACTTAACCACTAACTGTAACATGAGCAGAATTGCTCTTTATTGGGAGCGAGATGTTTCAAATTGGCAAATGGGAGGGACACCATCAAATCTTACTGAGGTTCTGCAAAGCTTTGAAATTTCCTCTTTTTTGCCTTAATGTTTTTGTGCAGGATTTATGTACTTTTTGAATACAAGTTATTCCAGGCCAGGCTACTGTATGGAATAGGTAAACTCAGAACAAGATTACAACACCTGGTATGTAGTTAGTAAATAGTACAAACGTTAAGTTAAACTGTGACTGGCAAGAGGAATTCTCAAGTTTTACCAGACCTGACAGATCAGCTGAATTAAAAATAGAGGTACATCTGCTTACACTCCATCCTCATTTGTATTTTGCTGTCTCCATTATAATGTTTCATTACACTGATATGATTTCATAGAAATTTTGTGGTTTAACCTTCTGTGAGAAAGAAAAAAAAGGACCAGACATGTGCAATTGATTCTCTGTTCTCAGAGATGATTGTGCTTGCTTTTATCTTCCATACTTTGCTTGACTACAAGTTTGACTGTTACCACTAAAATAAATGTGTTTTTTATTTTCTGGGTAATGTTAGAGCTTTAGAGTATATATACCTGAAGAATTACCACCCTTTTCTTTCTGCAACTGAAGTAGGTTTTTGCACTTCTGTAACATGGGGGGGATTTGAGCTCAGTCTCAATGTAGATACTTATTCCCTTGCAAACATCAGCCGCACTTTGTGGATTTTGATAATTTACTGTGATCCTTCTTTCTTAGACTGATTAGATTACACTCAACTTTTTTCTGGTTGTGGGAGCACTGGGTAACTTAACAGTTTTATACTCAGGCTTTGATGGACAGAAGAAGCAGCATTTATTTTGCTTTGTCCTCAAAGCCTGTTCTGACTGACTTTTTCAAATACATTATCTCTGTTGAAGTACGTTGCTTAAAAAATATTTACATCCCCAAATTAATTAGACTTTTTAGTCTAATTTTTAATACAACTTGCAACAGTATAAATCTTTTTTAACTATTCCTGTTTTACCTTTATTCAGTAAGAATGCAAATGAAACTCATTCTTTAACTGAAGTGCCTATGCTTGAAGACTAAGTATGGCACTGTAGAATTATTATAAATCATTCCTGGTGCTTCAGTACCTTGCTTCTGGCCATATAGTTGTTGCCAAGCAATTGTACACCAAAGTTAGGAACCACATATTTGTTATGCTCACTCTTGGCACAGACTGGGGCTTCTCTGAGGTCTCTTCTAAGGTCTGATATCCCAAGGGAATGCTAACTGCATAGTCAGTCTTAGAATATTTCCAAGTTCTTAACAACATAAAACCAAATAAAGGACCATTACGATACTCACTGACACTTCCATTAATCCCTGTGTCTTAATCTGTAAAAGTATTCTGCTCTGCCTTTATGGACCTCTTTGGACTATAAAGAAAAGCTATTTTTTTTTGTAAATGAGGAAGGGCAGTTGTGAGCGAGGAGGGTTTCACCAAATGAGAACACAGTGGGAGTAACATATTTCTATTCTACAACAAAACAATTTCAGTTAAAAAGGGAATATATAGTGCAGATCATGCAGATAGTACAGTGTGAACTGAGGATTGATTTGTAAAATGTTTATAACACTCCATCTCTCAGTGCACATCCAGATACTAAATAACATTGCTTAAAACAAAGTCTGGTTAATGTATTGCTTTATTTTCAAAAGCACATGAATGTAAATATAGCCATATGAATTCAATTTTTGCCATTCATATACGTCTATTCTCAACTCAGATTAAGAGGATGATAAACACTTTTTGAGAGCGAAATCAAGAATTATTTGCTAACAGGTATCTAGGCTGGACATACTGAAAATGGTTTACCTCCTCTTTCAGTCATCCTTAGACTTGGAAGGCATGAGTGATATATTAACAAGTAGAGAATGAAAGTCGCAGTTCTAGGACATGCAGGGCTCTAGAGATTTGTCTGTTATAATATACTTTTTTTCTCATCCTAATTTAAGTATTCATTTCTACTAGAGAGGAGTTTCTCTAGTGTAGCTTTCTTATAGGAATGCACTTAACAGTAGTTTCTCTCAATCCTTGTAATGTAATCTAAAAGGTGCTAAAAAAACCATCTGTGGTTCAGTGATTTTTTTCTATTTTGATTATGTTCTTTTCTCAAATGAAGATGAGTTCAAAGCCAGTTTTTAGAAATTTTTGCAGTTAATGTATTTGTTAATTTCTTAAGAGGTAATACTACTGTTGATCCAGAGACAGGGAGGACACTCCCTAGGAATTTATGAACCTGAGTGAAGAAAACAGGTTTTGTGATTATTTTTTTTAAAATAAATGTTATAGTATGTTAATAAAAGTTTTAGCAATGTGACTCTAGAATTAATAGGTTGTCCTTAGACATACCCTCTGCTCAAAGCAGGGCTGGCTTGAAAGCCAGATCAAATTGCTGATGAGTTTTGGAATCTCTAAGGATGGAGATCACACAGCTTCTCTGGGCACCCTTTCCAGCACTGCACCACTCTCAGGGAATAAATTTTTCCTTCTGTCCAGACCAAATTTTCCTTGGTACTACTTGCAGCCATTGTCTCTTGTCTTAGGGCAGTGCACCTCTAACAAGTTATAGCAAGTCAAGAAAACATACAGCAAGGAGAAGAAGTATAGTAGAATTTATAATAAATTATATTTCTGGTTGAATACCACCTTTATCACTTAGGAGCTGTAAATGACAGAAGTGAGTATGCTAAGGTTACTGGTATCAGAAAGAGATGGTTATCCTTATGAGACAAAAGCTTACTTAACTCCCGGAAAACTGGCAAGTTATCTTCTTAATGGACATCTTGAAGCACCTGCAGATGGGAACCTGCGTATGAACTGAAATTCAGATAGACGACCATCATCATAGAAGGGAGGTCCCCTTTTGTTATCTTGTTATTAATATAAGAATACCTCGCCCTAGGGAAGTCAAGCACAGCTAGCTCATTTTTAACTGCGGTGGAGCTTATTTTAATATTAGTGCTTCTAAAAGGTCTCAGCTCATCAGCTCCTTCTCACCCGTCTCATTTTTCATGTTTTTATTTCTATTGCTTATTGCTAGGAATTCACCTAACTTCTTAAAAACTAACAGGCTACATTATCTATAGCATAATGACTTTCAAAGCTCCAAGTGCCTGTATATGCTTATCTTGCTGTAAAGCCTAAAACTGGGAAGACATGGTCATTGTAAAGATTAAGACTATGTATACAATAACTCTTTTTGCAGGAGTAGGTGGAAAAGTGTGTTATCCAAAATATTATTTATAGTGTATAGCATGTAAATCAAAACTTGCGAGTTTCTGTTACTCAAACTGCCTGCCTAATATATTTCCTCCTTCCTATTTTTAGCTATGTTTTAATTTGGTATGGAAAATTGTTTCAACTTCTCGTGTAAGGAATTCTAGCCCTTCATTGCAGTGTGCCCATGTCGAACCTGCTCTTGAGCGAACAGTCACCAGTTCCCCTCTGTTCCTGCATTTGAATGCTGTCTTCCTAAAACACAGCAGCCTGTAGCTTTCTCTTCCTGGCAGTTTTTAAAGCAATGACAGACCTATTATGTTCCAAAGTTTGATTGTCTCGGCTCTGGATACTGTTACCTTCACTTTCAGTGTCTTGGGGCCCGTGTAGTGCGGTGTTCAATGTAAGCAGTCAGGCCCCCAGAGTGTTATTACTGGTTTGCTTTTTTACCGTCTTTCATCAATATTTACCACAAAAACCAAAACTGGCTATATCTGCTTACTCTACTTAGGATAGGGTAGTTTTAAAGGAGCGATAAAATAAGAAAAGGGGAGTTCTGCTGAAATGGTGTTTTTATTGTCTTTAGAGAGAAGCGTTTCTTCCTTGGCAAAAGTGTGGTTAAGATCAGTTTCTGGTACACCATTCCCCTAACTGTGGCCATCTGTCCTGCTTAATACATTAGCAAATCACCACTGCTTTCACCACCGTGTTTTGTAGCCACATCTTCATCTCTTAAGAGAGAACATTTGTCTCCACATACTGTCTAGAACTCTAAGAACTTGGAAATAAA